TGAAGGACAGGAAGGCCTGGCGCAATATGGTTCATGGGGTCACGAAGAGTCGGACACGACTTAACGACTAAACAACAACAACAATCTCACTGTACAAGTGACTCTAAGTGGCTTACGGGTAAGGGGAAGCCTGAGATTGCAACCACATGCCTGAAACTCAGCCATGCAACACTACAACATGTCTCCTGCACCCTTCACATCAGCTACTGTTTTGCTGGGACTGTACAATGGGATCGGAACTATCTGATGCTACTGCTCAGGACCAAGGAGCTAACTTCCCTGAAAGTAGGCTGATATAGGTATCACAGCTTATGCCAATGTGCTTATGTGTCACCATCTAAAGGCCTTCTTCCTCACAGATCTCTGTGCCTCTGGTCTTAGACACGGATCACAGCTAGAATTAAACACATTTTTTCTTTGCCCACCAAAAACAGGCAAGGAAGAAGTTCTGGCAAGTTATCCAAGGAGCTGCATCCGCCTTCTGGAAGACAAGACAAGATGTCAACTAGGCAGATGGTTGTATTTACAGCAGCAACAAGAGAGCCCTTTGTGATTGGATCTGCTCTTCCAAGCAGGAATGCCTATAAGAGGAATCAACACCAACAGCTGCATTTGGAGGCTCCCCAAGGCCCCCACCTACATGCCCCAGACTAACAGTGTCTGTAGCTAACTGGTCCTTATCACATTATGTCTTCAACAGGGTTGCTTTCCTTAAGGTCAACGGGGCTTACTCCAAAGTATGGATTGCACTGTTGCAATTCCAGGGGCTCAGGAGTTGAAATAATGTCAGCTGGGGCTAAAATAGACCCCTTCAAACTCTAGAGAGCTGCTTCTAGTCTGCATTGATAGCCTGGCTGCTTTTTTCTCTTAAGGCAACTAGTATGCATTACTGTACACGAGAACAACCAACTTCATAACCCCAAACAGTATGAAAAAGACTCAAAGATCTAGCTTCCTTTGAAAGTATGTCATCAAGTTCAAGTCCTTCACAATGCAGTAAATCAAATCTTCCATTTTCCAAACAGATAAAGCATGCGTTCTGCATTATTCTTAGCTGTTCTGGAAGGTCCTATCTTATAGTATCAAAGCTCAATTCAAGGGTATAAAGAGGCAATACAACTCCCACAAATCAATACCATCTCTCATGTTCAACCTGGCTTCCTCTTGGCTACACTCTCTGGGAAATGTAAGTGGATCCCCCACATTTTCATCACCAACTATAAATCCCTTTTAGCCATTTCCAAATGAATGAGGGTTTTAAGCTCTATGTGCATCATGTTTCAACTTCCTAGGTCTTATGGAAATATTCATTTCAAGAAACCAATCCTATCTTTATTTTAACAGATTACCACCCTAAGTCCAGGGGTTTCCTGAAATCAGTGTGTCTTAGGCCACTGTCTGGGTCAACACTTTTCTGTCTGAATCTCTGTATGTGATTTCTACAAATTTCTATATGTGCACATAGGCCGTGTAAAAGACCCAGTATAAAATTCTCAGCATGTATTCTCACTCATGTGCTACTATCACAGTGATTCTGGTGCATTAGATAATTTTAACAATGCTTAATTCAAAAAGAATCACTTGAGTTTAATCTTATGCTATGCATTTGCAACACTCTCACATTCTGAAAGCTCAGCACATATTCTGATGTAAAAAAAGCTGTTTTTTGTTTTTGTTTTATTTGTTATCATTACAAAGATGTAAACAAAATGAATCTGAATAATAATATCACAAAAAATAAATCACATTTGGAATACACGAAATGTGAAAACAAGCAACTTCATTGCTCTTATAAACAGGATGCTTAATATTTCAATGAGAGGGGCCTTGAAATATTTTGAAAGCATCTTCTGTTCCAAATTATTCATAAACACATTTCTTTCCCTTCCATAAAGCTTACCAAAGGAGCAAGTTTTCATTTTTTTTCCAGCTTGCAAAATTTAGCTGTGCAGTACAACACCATATAATGAAGAGATACAGAGAAGATGTATATAAATTGGGAGCGGGGAAGGACTGCTGGTATACAGTACAGTCCTTCTTCCACACCTGTGGGTAATCCCATAGCCATGTCTCCTCCTCACTACACCTGGGTCCTCCAAAAGAAACCATTCTGAGTTCCTGCTTAGCCAGCGTCCTCCTTTTAACCATTTTATCTCAAGCCCCCACCCCTCCACCCTGCTTGGGCTCTCTACTACTGCTGCAATACCTGCAAAACAGCCCCCCAATAGCCACTAGATAGAAGATCCATGAGGTTGCTTGGAAAGGACCTACTGGGATCTGGGATGAGATGCCACCATATATTAACACAATATTTTTCCAAAGGATTATTTAATTACAGAAGAAGGTTGGGACCTAGGGAAGGAAAACAAAAATAAAATAGCTGTGTTCAACAGGTACAACAGTGTGGATTCCTATCTTTCTACCAGGTTCTGTGGTAAGTCTTATATGTCTCATGTTCTAGCCAACTCCCAATGTGTTGTATCACCTGGAACCCCAGAAAGCCAGGGAGAACCCTGGTCTCCACTGTGCCACAGAGGGCACTCAGGGACAACCATGTTAACGGCCCACCCCATTTCCCCCTCCTTCAGCCAGGGAGCGCTGGCTCTAGCTTCTGCAGTTCCACCAGAACACGGAAGAACCAATTTATTGGGGACATTTATATGGCAAATAACTCTGGGCAGCTCACAATGCAAACAGATGCCATCCCCCTCCCCTGCAGAAGAGGAATGATGCCACAGAACCAAGTCATGGGGGGATCTGTACTTCCATTCTCTTGCTCTCTTCGGTGTGAATCAGGCGAGACAGTGCAGGATCTGCACCAGTGTCTGAAGGCAGGAATAGGTGGATGGAAGGGCAATAAACAGAGATTGAATTGTGGTCAGATACAGGTGCTGTTGGAAGGCAGTCTGGGAACTTGGAAGAGGGAAGATGGCCTGTTCTGGGTGACTGGGTACTCCAGAAGCCAGATGGCAGCAAAAGCTAGGAATC